CAAAGGAATAATCTTTCTTAGCAATCATTCGAGTATTTCTAATGGTTTTTGCATACACATAAAAGAGTGATCTGTTTTTTAAGGAATCATTTGATTTTCTCTTCAACTGTTTTTTTATGAATCATTCGAGTTTTTCAACTTTTTCTTGGTACGTTTTTTTTGCAGACACAGCTAGAGAGGCACGAAAACTCGATCCTCCGGCAAGAAAACGACAAGCTCCGGGCCGAAAACTTGTCTATACGTGAGGCCATGAGAAACCCCATCTGCACAAATTGCGGGGGGCCCGCCGTTATTGGTGACCTCTCCCTCGAAGAGCAACACCTCCGAATCGAAAACGCTCGACTCAAGGACGAGCTCGACCGAGTATGCTCCCTCGCCGGAAAATTCCTCGGCCGCCCAGTCTCATCCCTCCCTCCTCCTCCGGGCCTCGACATCCAGCCCATAAACCCGGCCCAGCCTGCAATCCCGGGCGACGAGTTCATTGGGGGGAGCGTGGGCCCCGCGTACCTTGAGCTGGCTTTAGCTGCAATGGACGAGCTGATAAGAATGGCAACGCCCGACGGGCCTTTGTGGGCCTCAGATGGCGGGAGGGAGGTACTTGACCGGGCCGAGTATTTGAGGAATTTCAGCCCGTGTTTGGGGATGAGGCCCGAAGGGTTTGTGAGCGAGGCTTCGAGGGAGACTGGCATGGTCATCATCAATGGATTGGCGCTAGTCGAGACGCTGATGGACTCGGTAAGCGAATTAGGGATCATTTATTTCGGAGAATTTGTGTTCTTGGTCTTGAATTCTTGAACTTTTTTATAGTTAGATAGCTTTCTTGAAACTTTTGTGATTTGGTTTGTGTTGTTGTTGTTTTTTGTTTTGGTGAAGAACAAATGGGCAGAGATGTTTCCTTGTGTGATTGCAAGGGCCTCAACTACAGATGTGATATGTAGTGGAATGGGTGGATCAAGAAATGGTGCACTTCAATTGGTAATTTTACACACATAACATAATAACAATTGGATTAATATGCATTGTACTAATTTTGTTTTATTTTTTATTTTTTTTCCCTTCCTAAGTAGTAATAAAGTTGCAATCTTTATTCCAAAATTTTATGATTTTTTTACTTAGATGAATGCTGCATTCCAAGTACTATCGCCATTGGTGCCGGTTCGTAAGGTCGATTTTATCCGATTTTGCAAGCAACATTCGGAAGGTGTGTGGGCCGTGGTTGACGTGTCAATCGATGCCTTACGGGAAAATTCGGGCGGGCCCACATTTCGAACTTGCCGGAGGCTACCGTCTGGTTGTGTGGTGCAAGATATGCCCAATGGCTATTCTAAGGTACACTTCCTATAGACTATACATACTTCATCTTCTTCACAATGCATTTGTTTTGCCTCTATTTTCAAATTTTTGGTTTTGTTGGCTGTTGTTACTTTCTACTTTTTTTAGTTGTTACACTTATACACAACTATAGATGCTTGTTTTTTTTCTATCCTTCACATTTATTGAGATTTAGTCATGGTTGAAGCCACAACTACACCACCTTGGAATTTAGTAAAAGAACATTTAATTTGTGCAACGAACGTGACCTAATGGGCGAGCGCATATTCGGACCATAAAACGTGAATTTAGTTAATGAAATATTTTGTTTTTACTTTTCACAAATAGAAAAAAAGTGGATTCAATTTTTGAACAATGATAATGAAAAACGAGTAATTCATATAAGTCTGTATTTCAATACATTTATTTGTGGGTCTAGACTAGACTAAACCCTTCTACTACTAAATTCGAGAAGATGCTTCTCGTGCCTCTAAAACCTATTGCTTGATTTTCAACAATCTGAGCTTGCTTAAGATCAGATTGAAGTATTATTATATTAAGTAAACAAATAATTTATTTTGATGATGGATCGAGGCATAATTTAATAAACTGAATAAAATAGTGGAATGGAAGCCTCTATTACTCCGATTTTTGCTCCTTGGGACACATTAATTTCCATAAGAGTCAGATAGTAAATTGCGTGAAATATTAATCAAACTTTGGTATTATAAAACTAATCTTTTGATGCTTCTATTCCAAAATCTCTGCAGTCTGCATGGTGCTTGTCTCGATCAAATCACCTAAATATTTTATCTTTATTATTATAATTATAATTATTAGTATTTAATTTCCTTTTTATATTTTATTCAGACAATGTATGACCTGGTTACAGCACTTGTGATGTGGTTGTTTTTCTACTCAATTAAGACCAGTCGGTCAAATCCCGAAGCATGGGCTTGTAGTTCGTGGTCACGTGACCATCTCAAAAATTTAACCTTTTTAATTTTTATTAAATTTTATATTTTCTTTTAGTAGTTTCTTGAACGTATATCCATGTCCCAGGCCCCCTCAAGTCCTAAATTCGTCCAACTCATTAATTTCTATTTCTAGCAAACCTGAACTGTCAAACTAAACTGGTCGCTCGTGAGCTCAACTCGATCCATTAAGAACCAATCTCGATTTTGCTTGTTTGATAAACGAATTAAGCCCGTGCCTATTTTTTAAGGCTTCTTTAGTTAACAATTAGACCTTAATTTCGTGAACTATTAGTTTAATTTGGTTCGTTAAGGCTAGATTATAAGGGCTCGGGCCTAAGCTAAAAATATCATTCAATCGAATTCATCGAACATATGAAAATTACAAAAATACCCTTGATGTTAATCCGAATGAAGTAAAATTATCGTTTACGTGCCATGCCAGGTCACGTGGGTCGAGCACGTGGAGTACGACGAGACCACCATCCACCACCTCTACCGGCCGCCGGTGGCGGCCGGCATGGCCTTCGGGGCCCACCGGTGGCTCGCCACCCTCCAACGCCAGTGTGAATGCCTCGCCATCCTCATGTCCTCCGCGGGCCCCACTCACGACCCACACTCAGGTAAAAACCGAACTAACTCGACAATCATTTCCATATAATAAATGAGAAATGCTATAGGTACATAATATTGTACATATATAGGGGTGTACATAACACTCACATTGACTGGGACCGACCAAAAATAAAAAAATTAAGTGGACCCCACTCCATGTGATTGTTATGTACACATCTATGTACATTTATTATATACTTGTAACATTTTTCTACACTAAAAATAAACTCGAATATTAAAGAAAAAAAGTTGATTTTTTCAGCGATTACGGCAGGAGGTCGGAAGAGCATGCTAAAGCTTGCACAAAGGATGACCAAAAACTTTTGCTCGGGCGTTTGCTTCTCGTCGGTGCACAAGTGGAACAAGCTCCGAGCGGACAATGTGGGCCCGGATGTCCAAGTCATGACCCGGAAGAGCGTGGACGACCCGGGAGAGCCGCCCGGGATAGTGCTTACCGCCGCCACGTCAGTTTGGCTGCCCGTGGGCCCGCAGAGGATGTTCGATTTTCTAAGGGACGAGCGGCTTAGGAGCGAGTGGGACATACTCTCCAATGGCGGGCCTATGCAGGAGATGGCCCGTATAGCCAAGGGACACGATCACGGCAATTGCGTTTCTCTACTACGCGCCGGTGTAAGTTAGTTATCTTGATCGATAAATTTTGGGATTTGCATAATTATTGGATTTGGGATTGGAAAAAGTAAAGAGAAAATTTTAGGATTGATATTTTCATGTAGGAGATTGAAAAGAAAAGGACAATTATGGGTGATGCTTTGACTGTCGTAGATCTCATCCTACACACACAACTGAAATGCAGTCATCGATCGAGTTTTACACCGTTTGAATCAACTCAAACGTGACACAATCTGATGATTGCACTGCAATTATGTCACGTTTGGGTTGATCTAACTCTGAAAAAACCGATGATTGCATTGTAGTTATGTGTAGGGCCAAATCTTTCTATTTGTCTGGTGAATCCATCAGGTCCATAACTTTACACTTGTAAAAAGTTACGGACATGAAAGTTATGTTCTTTGGTACAAATAGATAACATTGTACCTGTCTTCATGAAAATGACGCGAGCTAGAAATGGTTAAAATAGCGCATGTGCCCATAAAAACCCCGGTAAAAAAAATCAGTCCTTTGGGGATCTAAAGAAAAATACCAATTGAGTGTCAAGGACGGATTTTGGTGTTTTGATTCCATCTGTCCTGACACAGTTGACAAAAAATTCCATGGGGCTTTTGTCTATTTCTCCACCCTTATTTAGTACTATTTAATACTAAAAATCGACATATTAGATTACGAAACATCATAAATAAATTCGAAAAACACTGCATTTATATATATAATTACTCATGAGGGGTATTTTTGTCATTTCACATCCGCAGGCCGTGGACTCGACCCAGAGCAGCATGTTGATACTGCAAGAGACGTGCACAGACGCATCCGGGTCGCTAGTCGTGTACGCGCCCGTCGACATCCCAGCCATGCACGTCGTCATGAACGGCGGGGACTCCGCCTATGTGGCGCTCCTCCCCTCCGGGTTCTCCATCATGCCCGATGGGCTCGGGCCTGGACCCAACTCAAACAATTCTGGGTCGGGCCACGGGTCGCTCCTAACAGTGGCGTTCCAGATCCTGGTCAACAGTCTCCCGTCGGCCAAGCTCACGGTGGAGTCAGTCGAGACGGTCAATAACCTCATCTCGTGCACCGTGCAGAAGATAAGATCAGCCCTCGATTGTGAGGGGTGACCGCGTGTGGTGTGGGACCCGCTTCTGTTTTCTGATTTTCGGGTGTTTTATGCGTGTGGGATAGGGTTTTTTTTATCTAGGGTTGGGAGATGAATTTAATCGATTTGTGCTTTTGGCTTGGGCTCGTGATTCAGAGGGTGTGAGTCAAGAACGAACCGCCCACGCACGATGCTTGGGTGGTGGCATGGTTCGGGTGTTGACTCATGGCCATGGGTGTACCCTTTTGAGTTGGCTCAAGCATGTTCCATTTCGTGTTGATTTGGATCTTTTGGCTACTTACATTGTCACAACATATACTTCATTTGTTTTTGGTATTTTTAGATTTTATTAGATATATTTTTTTTGTCTTTAAATGTTGGTCAATATTTGGTGTGTACTTAAATTGATTATCTTTCTAACAAAGATATTATAGTTAGTATATTATATAATTCTAGTTGCAATATATATCAATTTTTAATATTGAAATTAATAATATAAATGCAAATAAGATTAAAATAATGGATTGTATACATATGCATTAAATGAACATGAGAAGTTTGATGGGGTACAAGCATTGACTGCATGGGTTCATTTTTATCATGATGTTATACTTATATATATCCCTTTCAAAGTCCCACGAGCCTCTTGTGTGCACACTCAAATACAACTTAATAGACGAGTGAGACTAATTGAGCCGATCTAGTCAAAACTTAACTCGAGCTCGAATTTGACAGAACACGAGTCGAGTTTGATATTAAAATATATAATGACTACAATTAATTAAATACAATGGTAATACGTGATTTATAGTAACTTGAGTTACGTCTTTAAAAAAAAAAATAGGAAAATGAAATGTTTCTATATTAAGAGTGAGTTGAAATGATTTGCATGAAATAAAACATATATAAAATAACTAAACACTCTAATTTCCAAATTATAGGATTATATATGTCCAATTGAGTCAAAATCTAATCCATCAGCTCAAGAAAGAGGCAGCACAGGATGTTATATCAGATTTCATTTTAAACATGCCAATACGTATATATGACTTTTGGGGTAATAAACTTGAAACACAAGAAAACTGTTCGACGTTGACACCTCGTGACAATCTTCACTTATATATGCAATAAAATAATTCTAATTTCAAAATTTTCGGTTGAGTGAATCTCAATGGAACTATAATATTTATATTCAATCACTTTCATTCATTTCACAATTAATTTGATCTTAAGATAAAGCCAAAAGTTTTAAAGTTAAAATAAAGCCAATTTTCTTAACCTCATCATTCATCAATCGTCAGATGTTCATGCCGGAAAAGAAAAATTATTTTAATATTCCATCTGTTTCTGTAACATTAATCTAGACTCAGTCACAGGTCCTTTGTTGAATTTTAATTTATTATGACACATTTGTGAAAAAAATAAATAAAAATCATATTTGTAAAAATAATAACCGAATTACACTGTAAACAAATCAAACCAATTGAAATAGAATAAAAAACTTATACCACAAAAATAATCGAATTGAACTGCACTGCACCAAATTACACAGTTGGACTCGACTTCTCGATTTTGACTCAGTTTAGATCACCTTAAATAAGGTAGCTCAAATGGGACAATAACTTGTGCCACACTATCTCAAACTTAAAAGTTATAGCATAAAATATTTTCTAAAAAGGTATTGCTGATCAAACATCTCACTTGTTTATTATTTTATTTAATCACGACAAAACAAATTTATTAAAAAATAAAAAACATCATAAGTCATTAGAAGTAAATTAACAATAATTGCTGATTATTTAAGTTATTTTTAACCACAAAATGGTACATAAAAATGTTGGCCTAGCCAGGGACCATTTTGGACCTCTTGACACAGCCACTGTGTGTGAACTGTTAGACATTTTTATTTATCCTAATTTCCACAAATCAAACACTTGTTTGATATAAAATTGGGGGGTTTTCACATCATTGTGTGAAGGCCCTAGGTTGGATGTGAGAATGTTACATCATCAAATTGAGAATTTGCCCAATTATTTTAGTAAAATAAGATGGCCAAATGAAAAGAAAAAGAAAAATGAAAATAAGAAATCAATTGGCTCGTATACTTGTACACTATTTTTCCTTCCTATGAAACGATAGAAAATTAGAAAGTTTCAAATTAAATTATGTTGAGTGCAAAAAATTATGTTTAGAATAGAAATATATTCTGTTTACAGTGAAGTCATGTGTTTCTCATAATTATCTAACCCCAAATTTTGAAATTAAATACAAATTTCTAATCATAAATCTATTTTTTATATCTAACAACTATATATTTATGTAGCCTATGGTTGTCAACTTACATTAAACCCCAAACAATATGATCAATAGGTCAAATCCTTAGACCATATTAAAGGATGAGTCTTCTCAAGTTCTTTGGTGTTCCAATCATTTAATTGTATTGATTAGTAACTCCCATTCATTCAATAATTCAATCTCTACCTTTTTAATAATTATATATATTTTTTTATTAATCATATTTTTCTCAAGTTTTGGTCCTAACCAAAATTTGTTTCTTTTCCAATTCCGTGTCGTACCTATTTGTTAATAAAGTCAAAAAAGAATAGTTGTTGAAATCAAAACACAAGTCTGAATGTGTTGACTTTTTTGGTCATGAAAAGGCCTCATAATCAGGTCAATTTCACCAAGATTTTCCAAGATTGAAGGATAAATGGTCAAACTCCTTCAATTTTGACATTTTCTTGATGAGTAACGTATGGAGCAAACTTGAATGATAACTTAAGTTACAACTCAAGTGTAAATGCATTATTTTTTTTATTTTTCAATAATGCATTTACACTTGGTAGATTGTAACCCAAATTGTCATCCAAGTAGGCTAAATAACATTACTCTTTCTTAACATTTATCGTGTACTAACATTGTCAGACGAGCTAGCTACGCCTCGACTCATTACTTAGTTGCCTAAAACGGTCCAAGCTGACCTAGTTTTTATGTATATATTTTAGACTTTAAACAATTATTATTCTTTCAAGCGAAAGTGAGAAATTTTTTTGATGTTAGATGTACATACTTTTTGAATAACTATATATTTTTATTAAACTGAATGACATCTTGTAAAATAAAATAAGAAAGAGTATGAAATTTTATAGTATAACTGTATGTATTTTTATTAAAACAAATATAAAAAAATATGTGAGATCGATAAGACTAATATTTAGATAACTTATGTTAGTTTAAATGTGAGGATAATATAATTGGAGACTTGCAATCTTGTAACTCTTGAAACACAAGTGAACTTTCCTATGTCATTATGCCGTACCATTTTGTCTGTTGACGTTTGTAAAATTCTAAAATCAATTGACATGCGAAAAACTAACTAATCTTAAGGCCCACTAGAAAAATATTAAAAAAAAAATTGTGTGGGCCATGAAATGGATCGAAAAAGTAAAGTGGGCTTCCGTAGAAATCTCTCCAACCCATCACGTGGAAGTGGGCTCCATCATCCTATAAAAAGTCCAGTATGGACACACCACACTTTCCATGCAAACCTATCAGTCTCCAATCTCTTTTAAATATAAAAATAATAATCATGATTCTTTATATAAAGTATTTTGTTTTTTTTTTAATGAAAAAAGTTACATGAAGAACAATTTTAGTAGTATGCTGATATAGTTATAGCTCAACTAAACTGGAGCTGCGACATTACTAATTGGCAAATCTCATAGCTCGGTCGACTTAACTAGAATCCAACATCAAATAGCTCGAGTTGAGCAGGTCGAGCCACCTCAGAGCGATTGATGTTGAGTAGATTAAGAAGATAGGGAAAAAAAAATGTAACCATCCTCCTGAATGACATGACACACAAACCTATTTCATAGAACATGAACTAGAGAGTGATTGAGTTAATTCATGAAGAAGACTTATTGACCTTCAATGGGTCGAGCTGATGAGCTAAGCCATGAAGAATACCTACTGACCTTCAATAGGTCGAGATAATGGAGCTAATCCATTAATACAACCTATTGACCTTCAATAGGTCAGGCTAATCAATCAAGAAGACCTATTGACCTTCAACGGGTCGAGCTAGTCGATGATGAACCATAATGGCGACCTAAATGACTACGATGAATTTTAAGCAAGCTAAGGTAACAACTAAACTTGTCACGTGCATCGGCATCATATCGAACGACCTATAGGACTTGGACAAGGGCAAGCTAGTTGGGATAAAGTCCGACCTAAATACGTGGAATCTATTGACATCAAGTAGGACGACCTAAGGAAAGAGAACTACAAATACACAGCATAACGACGTAAGGAAAGAGACCTACAAATACACAACAGGACAACATGAGGAAAGAGACATAGAAGTACACAACACAACGACCTAAGTACAAAAATGACATATGGATATGGAGACCTGGAAAGCATGGACCTAACGAAAATAAGGATGAATCTAATCCAGATAAGGATGANAAAAAAAAAAAAAAAAAAGGGGACTAACCTTGGTCAACTAGACAACTCCGGGCAGAGTGACTGGGGGCAGCTAAATCTTGGGCACCAAGGTATTCTCCTTATAAGATTATAAGAGATACGAACAACTTAAACACTCTCTTTACTCTTTAAGAAATCTATAGATACATTCATCATATTCTTCCCTTTTCGATCACTGTCTTGAGAATCAAAGTGCTTACGCAGTGAGTTCCTTTCGATCCTTGTTTTGTAGATAATCAATCAGCTGTATTAGACGATCAGAGCTTTGCGGTAGTCGGTTCAACCAAAATTCATGTCCTAGCACATCATACATATTGTTTCAATTGAAATATGATGTGTAATTTTTTATGTAAATATATGCTTATATTCATTAAGTTGGTGTGATTTGAAATTAGGATAGATGTTATTGAGAATTATGTATAACTAAAAATATGTGAGTAAATAAATAATGAATTATGTTGACGTGATGGGTGATGATGATTGATTGATATTATTTAGATATATTGATAAAAAGTAAAAGAGTTAAGTTAG